TTTACATTTTTGCACAACAAAAATAATATGTTGTTGAGGCTGTTGTTTTTACTCCTGACAGGAGGGTCAGCCATGCTGTGCACCGATTTGGTAGCTGTTATGATTATTTATACTACAGCCAAGTTCACGTAGCATAGATTATTCTGGCAACTTAGAAAATATACAGATTTGACTTTTGGCCTGCACTCCCTGTAAGGAAACCTTGAGCGTTGCATGTGCAGGGAGTGCAGAGAGATGATAACACCCCTCCCCTCAAGGGGAATGTAGACTCAGAGCCTGCTGGTGGTGCTGGGGTGGAGGCAGGCTTGTGAAATGTTATACATTTAAGAGGTACAGTATCAAATATGCATGTGCCAATAAAAAAAGAAATATTGGTTGACAGTGCCCTGCCAAAACTGTTTACAGTGGAGGTGGGCAGCTGTTGACCTCAACTGGGGATATTGTCGGGCGGTGGAAGGAATACTTCGAGGATCTCCTCAATCCCGGCGCCATGTCTTCCGATGAGGAAGCAGAGGCTGAGGGCTCGGAGGTGGACTCGTCCATCACCCAAGCTGAAGTCACTGAGGTAGTCAAGAAGCTCCTCGGTGGCAAGGCACCGGGGGTGGATGAGATCCGCCCTGAGTACCTTAAGTCTCTGGATGTTGTTGGGCTGTCTTGGTTGACACACCTCTGCAACGTCGCATGGCAGTCGGGGACAGTGCCTCTGGACTGGCAGACCGGGGTGGTGGTCCCTCTTTTTAAGAAGGGGGACCGGAGGGTGTGTTCCAACTATAGGGGGATCACACTCCTCAGCCTCCCCGGGAAAGTCTATGCCAGGGTACTGGAAAGGAGAATTTGACCAATAGTCGAACCTCGGATTCAGGAGGAAAAATGCTGCCCCCGCGACCCGGTCCCGGATAAGCGGAGGAAAATGGATGGATGGATGGATGTCACACGCATCATCAGAGAGTTAGCCAGGTTAGCTAACAGCTAGCTACCTGTTAGCACCGGGGGCCACCGTGACAGCGTGTGAAAGCTAGAAAGATGATGACAGAACAAGGAGAAACGAGTAAAATGATTAAAATGATCCTAGTCACACTTATTTATGAATGACGGTGGTGTAAAATAGAAAGTAGGTGACCAGGTGTAGGGAGCTTGTGACAAATCTGAAAGGCAGCTGGTATGTTTACATTCTACTTTGAGCTTCTAGTCTTTCAGGAATATTTCTCTTCCAGCGTGCACTGCCCTTGGCAAAGCAGCCCACTGTCC